ACTGAAGGAGGCAGTAACAGAAAATCCTAACAGCAGTTCAGCTTTCCATTCCTAACCTCAACAAGTTCCATACCTGCACAGGAGCATGCACATAGGCCACTAACCAGTAAAGCCCTATAYAGAGTCTCTAAAGTCACTGATTTCCCACAATAATCTCCCCCCAGATAAACTGGTTGCAAATGGCAGAGGGGACTGGCACTTAGCCATCAATTTGGTATTTTAAGTGCATAATATAGCAGCTAGTGCTTTTCAAGTCAAGGAGAGGCCCAGTGAGCAGCAGGAGACAGCACTGCTGGGAAGTTCAGGACATTGCCTGCTGCTTTCYCTGGACAGGTTGTACAGCAGCAGCTCAACCAGCTCCCAGGCTCTGCAGGTGCTGGCAGGCAACACCGGGAAGTGTGCGGCAGATTCCTGCTCACACCATGTCAGTGCAGTGACACAGCACCTGGCCAGCTTTCCAAAACTGCCTATGGTGGAACARCCACAAGACAAGCTTCATCTCCTTAGCTTCCTGCTCCAGCTCGGTGACTGTTTCTTACCCCATTCTCCTCTCCATGTGCTCCAGCAGCTCCAGGACTCAGGGCAGCCATTGGTAACACCCCACACAGCAACCCACTAAGATCAGCTTCAACTTCTCTGMGGGAAAACCCTGATGCCCAGAAGCAGCCACTGATTTTGTTATCAKCACTACACCACACAACTGCTTTTCAGCTATGCTCAGGGATTAAGTCAAAATTCCCTGTCAGAAATACTGCGCAGGAATCTGGGATTAAGATGACATGCACTGCATCAGATGAGCCCACAAGAGAACATGCTTGGGGAAAAGAGAGCTTTTAGAGATGAAAACGTGAGCAAGCTGCTGGAGCAGATTACACGCTCCAGTAACTCTTCTTCCAGCTCTTTCCCTTCCTTATAGTCCCTCTGCACGTGAGTTACACCAAATGCTCTCATTGGACAAACTGGGCTCATTGGGACAAGACCAGTGTGCACAGCAGAGGGCAGGTATTAGATGGTGATAAATAGGTGTGAGCCAAAGGCATCTGCGTGCAAGGRGAGAGAGCCAAGGAGATTTGGACAAACATCCTCTGTTCCCTGTGCCACCATTTTGTGGAGGCTCTTAGAGGACAAAGATCTGGGATGTGGGCCTTAAATGATACAGAGACTCAAAACTTGGAGGAAAAGTTGGCATTACAAAATTATTACCCTGTTTAATCAATAAAAAATGAAGTACAAAAATAGAAGCACAGATGCCAGAATTCCAGCCATGTGCTTACAGCCATCATRTCTATACAGGAACATCCCAGAGTCAGAAGTTCTGAGCTCCTGTCAACTTCTTTCTATCACTAAAGCAAATGGCTTTAAGGTATTTCACTGACATTTGAGTTTTTCCTTCATCCAACTGKCTTCCAGACATCTCCCTGTCTCCCTTCCTCACTGAGGTGCAAACACTGCGAATAGGGCACAGCCYTGCTGGCAGGTGACATGCAGGACAGCAGCTGTGTGAAGGGAATAACCCTCCCCAGCAATTCCAAGGAATCAACATCTTGAATCACAAGGTCACAGTCATTTCCATCTAGGAAGCAATACACAACCTGTGCCTTGTCTCGCCTGATACAAKCACACTATGTGAACCTGAATTTTATTATTTTTTTGAAGAGCAATGAAGGGAGAAGGGTGAACTGGAGCTGAAGTAACACAACAGACGACACAACCATCTGCCTTTTAAACCTCAGCTTTACCCCAGACTGGTGAYTGAACCATTTTAGGGCACTAAAGCAATTCTGTTGAGATGCAGATGACTGTCTTAGTACCACGATGGCAAAAATTCCCAGTCCAAGTATCTGTTGCAGCCAATCTACTTCCSAAGAAATCCCTAGTGACCTGAATTTTAAGTTAGCTTACACCTAAAAACCAGTCCAGATAAGCTGCTTTTGTTACTAGAGTATTTGMAAAGTGCACTTAGTCACCGATTTCTTTGACAGCCTGTCATGATGAGAGTAAGAAGCACAGCAACGGGCTCATCACAGGCTGGCAACAGCATCCCAACGGGAACACATCTGCCTCCGGAGGGCTACGATTCCTGACTAGGAACAGGATGGGGAAGAGATTGTAGCTGAAGAATATGGGTCCAGAAGATCTGGAAAACCAGGCTGCTGAAATCACCAAAGCTCCCTGGCCATTAGGCCTGCAGCCCACAATCCTTCTGCATTTTCCCCACACAGCTTCCCCTCCCTGACATGATCAATACAACCAGTGAAGCCCCAGGATGCTCCAAAGCCCGTTGTAAATAGGTACAGAAATAGCAGCATTTCACTGAAATCTGTTTGTCAGCAGAGGAGAAGATRCAAAAACAGTCTGGGAACTCACCAAGCCTGCACTTTCCTACAGGAATGCAGACAGCCACAACCATCCTCGTACTGGCTCATCAACTATTTTTAGCACCAGAAGGGGAGGCAGCCATCAGTGAAGGGCCTGTTCCCTTTGATCCAGCGGATCTGAGCACTGTCTCTGTCCCAGAGATCCTTTGCTACCAAAACCACAAACCAGGTAAAGAGCTTTAGGTTGTTCCTGCCCCCGAGTACAAGGCGTTTCTCAGCAGTTACACGACAGGTTGGAAGAGGGCCACACAGCCCATTTAATTCCATTCACTTCCTCTCCCATCTGCGCCAGGCAGCCGAGCTCTATTAGTCTTCTGAGAGCAATTGTAGTTAAAGTGAAGGATGCCAGGAGGCCCTGGACACCCAGCACACATTGGATGCACCGTTCAGTCACCAGCTCCGAGCTGCAGGCTAGCTGCAGAGAAATCCCAGCAGCTGTGTCACTGCATGCAGCTTTATTTATCTCTAAAGGTTTTACAAATTAAACTCAAGCTTCTTCTCAGAGACACTTCCCAACTGGTTCTGCATCTAGCGGCCGAGCCAAGGAGCAGACTAAACTCAACTGGCACCACAACGAGCTTGCTTTCTCTGTCACTGATTCCTCCCTCGGGGAGCTGCAGGAACTTTCCCCCACAACCAGAGGTGTATCCCAAAGCCAGCAAATGGCACTGCTGTCACCACGACCCGGAACTACCATGGGCATGCGCAGCCCCACAGAGAGGGATCAACACACTGCAGGCAGAACCACCAWGGGAACAAAATCACCCACTCACAGAACAGGCACCCGTGGGGCCAGGAGCCGGCACTGCTCCGGGACACTTCCTCCYGCAGATGAACAGGGAGAGCAGAGAAGCAGCTCAGGAGGTGACAGCTGTAGGACAGCCGTCTAYTGGTGCAGTGCTTCCAGCTCCTCCACCTGCCCTGCAGGAGAGGGGCAGTGATCCCATGATTTTGGCTTAAGTGACTAAACGGGATCGTTTTGTCCTTCCCACCAGCTTTCTGTTCTAACCACACACACAGCATTCCCTGCACGCTCCCCAGAAAACTGGACAGGAGGGTGAAAAGAAGATCCACAAACCACTCTTTTTTTGCCTAATTTCTCCCKCAAGCTCTCTGCTCCTGTTTGTACCTTTCACAGATGCTGTAAAGGAGATGCTCAGCTGATGCGGCAGCCTTAACACACCACAGTCCCAAACTCCAATTTTGATATGAAACAGCTCTTTTCAGCAGCCAAAAGCCATATTTTACTTTTGTGATCTGCACAACTAAAATACGTACGCCACATTACAGCACATTTGTATCGCTCAGCAGAAAGAATGTGAACTGCTATGTGTCTTTCAGAGGGATGCAGCACAGCCTGACAGGCTCATAGATTCAGCCGAATCCATCCATCTGGAAAGCAGCAGCTTGGAACAACACGGCTCTTACAGTTTCCTAGTTGATATCCCACATCCCAGAGTCATCAAAGGCCATTTTTTCACCCTGCTTATCAAAGAACAGATGATTTCTGAGGACCACAGGGCAGCAAAATATGGAGCTGGGAGAAGAGCCTTCCCAGGGCACACCAGGACCTGCCTGGCCCAGACCTACCCTGGTTCCGCATGCCCCCGAGGTGCGGGGACAATCCACAATGCAGGCAGCAGCATGAGGGTACAACCACGCTGCTGCTCAGAGCCCACCAGCACCCATGGCCACAGCTCCACCTGCTCTGCCAGCAGAGATCAMACCTTTCCAGCACCACTGCTTCGTTTCCACAATTAGCAGGATTTAGGCACGTGCAGAGGTTTCTCCAGCCTCACCTATGGAGACTAATGACAAATTAAATCAACATCATACACCATGGCTGCCTATTGCAGTCGCCAAAATTTTGCTACTCAGAGCCCTTCCAGTTCAGCATTCCTCCTCCCACCACCGAAGAGAACATACTGTGTTACAGAGACTTTCATATTGGGAAAATATTTTAATATAGTAAACGAGTCAATTTACCTTCCACATATTTTAAATAAGTTTATGCTCATCGTTAAACAAAACTGTTTTTTTACTTCAACAATGGATTACAGCCTCTAAATTCGTATTGTTCCCAGCTGATCCTGTAAATAGCGAGGAATTTTGGACACCGATATCCTTGTATAGGTAACAGACTGGCATGAACAGCGCAGGAATTCAATGCGGGTTCAAAGGGAGAAGCTAGCCCTGGTGAGGAAGAAAACGAAGCCACAAAATTCCCTTTTGAGGAAAAACYGGGGGGAAAAGAAGATACCGCAGTTCCACCGAGTCCAAACGGGGCCGAGTCAGTGTCCAGGTCAGTCTCCGGTCAGCCTCCACGGGCGCTGCACGGTGCCGCGGGAACGGGCGAGCCATCGGTCTCCATCGTCGGCCAAGCCCCGCGGCCGCATCCCCGGCGGAGCGCGGCCTCCCGCGGCCCGCCCGCCTCAGGGGCTGCTGGCGCCCGGCCCGCTCCCGGCCGCGGGC